TTTTCTTTCTCTTATTCCTAATTGTGTTATAGTGGTGATAAGATTAAATGTTATTTTATTTAAAAGCAATTCAATTTATCTTTAAAAGAAATAGAAACGACTAAAATCTGTGTAATCAAGACCAGATCAAAGCGGCCGAGAAACAACTACATTACTAGATATTTTCGATATTATTCGACCACGGTAAGGAAATACAATAGCATGTTGCACGATTGTTCCCGAGTAGTAGACAGAAATTCCCTCAGCGCGCATACATCGATAGTAACCGAACGACAGCGTTCGATGGTCGAGCATCGTAAAATAAATCGTTTGCAGCAAGTTACGGCCGACACACCACTACAGTAGCCGTACATCAACTTTAATATAGCTATTTAACGTAACATATACTTACTTGAAGTTACAATATTTTCAGTTTTAATGCCGCTGTTACAATATCCAATTAATTGTATCATATAACCGTGCTGTAAATATAACATTTTCAGATGCAAATCTGCGATTTTATGTCTATATTTTCGTTATGTAAATACACTACTATATAGTGTAATAATTTAATAAGTAATAAATTCACCATATTAGCAAGGTGACCGATACCCATAGATATCAAATGCAATTGCCTATCCTTAATCAACGGAAGAGTAGACGCATAGATATTTCCCCTTTCTTATGCGTTTCCTCCTCCATCAAATCTACTTCCCTTTCCCATTCCTTCGTTATAAAAGTTGGGAAGAGACTAAAATTAGGCCTCTTAAGAATCAGACGAAACGCAGATTTACTTCCACTTCACGCTTGTCTTCTATGTATAACAATTCGTTGACTCGAGGTTAAAAGAACGGCCGTTAACACAAATATCATCAGATTCACGGTCATTCCACTGCCAAAATATTTTTGTTAATACATCACATATCACGCCAAACAATTGCATTTGGATCCTTACATTTCTGTATAGATGCATAGATATGAACCAAACGGCAGTACAAATCATCTTCTAAACACAAATAAGACACAAACACGTAAGTATTAATATTAATGAAATAAATTTCATTATAATATTGTAATATATTCAGAAGCATCGCGGAAGGCTTTCACGGCGCTCCGAGATTAGAGTTAGACCCGCGCGTGACTCGGTAGGCAATTGTACGGTCCGCCGTGGGATAGTCGACTACCTAGCCACTAAATCCCAGAGAGAACTAAATTTATATTTACCAGCCTACATTGGATACACGCCGGCTATGTAACGCGACGTGTTCTCGGCTTAGATAGATAAGCAGATAACCGTTCATTTAGCCATTCACTACAGGACAAATAAATTAACATACAGGGAATTATAATTGGTACAAAAGTATAGGTTTTCTTATAACTAACTGTATTTCTCATTTCCACAAAGGCCGGTAACGCATCTGTAGTTCCTCTGGTGTTGCGGATGTCCTTGGGTGTCGTTGACCACCTCGGTGTTCTCGCCGCTCGTTTAACCCCTTTTATTATTATTTCATAAAAACTACGAAGTATGACCAGCAACTAGAATACATGGTTTATGTCGGTCTCAATTGCATCTCTACCTATTCTGATATCTTGGTAGAGAAAAACTGTTATTAAATTAAATTGTAATAATTTTTAAACTTTAAACAAATTATATGCATTACAGAATATATAATTGTATTTTTATAAAAAAAAAAAAACATTAAAATAATCTTGATGTCTTAAATACCCGCCAAAACCTCGACATTTTATTTATGTTTGTAAAATAAATCCACCTTATTAGCGAAAATGCCGTCATGTTTTACGGATGCCTCAATAAAACACGGGATACAAAAATGTACAACGAAAAAATTGCGATAAAACTTGAGAGATTAGAGTTAATTGGAAAATTTACGTGGTCGGAATAAAGTTTATAAAATTAATAAAATAACCTTAAAATTTCATTTGAAACTTTAATATTTTTTAACCTGTGTGTGAAGGGAAAACCAGCCAGCCAACTGAAAACCAGCGCAGAAACGGCCAGCGTCTCTGCATTAACTGAGCTTGCCACCTTTTGCCACATTTTTTTACTAGCTTTAAGGTTGCTGTATGTATGATCTCATTTGTAGTTTATTTTTGTGGCAAGAAAAGTCCGATTTATTAATTTATATTTCTAGTTCAGTATCTGTCAAAACACCCAATAATATCAAAGTCGTAATAGTTTTCGTCCAATACAAGCCTGAAAGCAGTAGTAATCTGTCGACCACAAACGACTTATAACCCATTAACTGTTTATTGCAGTTCCAATAGTTTAAAGTTTAATTGTCTATTGGAGAAGCGTCTACAAAGATGTAGAGATGCGCGTCTGCGGGACAAGTTCCATACGAAACTGGTTTGAATATTCATAGAGTACAGAGCCAACGGCCGCATCACTATGCCGATGACATAATGGACACGAATCGATTTATTGTAGCTATTAGATATCGATATCCGACATTGTTGTACAGCTTTAAGGATCTTAATTGCATTTGGAATGACCTAATCCATTATAAAATATATATTTTTTGCAAGACGATTGACGAGATTTTTGACAGACAACTTCTACAAGTTATGGTTTTAATATGATTTCTTCATAATATAATACTATACTATATATTTATTATAATAAAGCGTAAACACACACTTCTTTGTTACCTAAGATGTCAGTAATTACAGCATATTTTCTAATGATTCTTTTTTAATAAAAAGCTCTACACTTACGTCACGCTTTAGGCTATATATTTTAACGCCAATAAACTTAGGGGTAAATAATTTGGATAAAAACCCTAATGTGGGAAAGAGACCATAAGTTGCTGTCAACATCAAAAAAGCAAGGTTGCCTTGTTTCGTCATGTTATGTCATTTTGACATTTGCTATTGATAATTTGACAAATGTAAACAATGAAATTAATTTTTCATAATGCGGATGAAGTCGCATGGGAACAGCTAGTAATAAAATATAAGCCGTCTACATACATTACGTTAAATTTACAACTCACATACAATAGGTTCCGTTAGTCAAATAAATATGGCGCCTTAACAAGCACATCTTCCTAGCGTTTACTTCCTATAAAGTCTAAGATATAGACCGCCTAAGCTTATTTGTTAAAATAAAACAACTTAATGTTATTGAAGCTTACATTTTAAAACTACAATTGTATATTAAAATTGCACTGTGCAATAATAAAATTAAAGAAATAATAAAAAAAACAACCGTATTAAAATTATTCTTTGATTCATATTTTTACCAAATCGCCTTACTTAATCTCACAGCGAAATTAATGTCAATTTTATAAACTCAACAAAATTAATTGCAGTTTAAATTGGCGCAAAGTAAAACAGCAGCTCGTCTGGTTTTTGCCTTTTAATTGACAAATAAGCGTTGTCATATAGCAAAGATAATATCTGATAATATCTGTCGAATGTAAATCTATTTAAATTACTATCGTACACTCAAGAGCATTGAATCTGGGTCACTTCAAACTATCAATCTCTTAAACTAAGAATAACGAAGTAAATTTCATTCAATGCTCTTGAGTGTAATCTATTCATTAATTAAACTTATTCACAATAACGCATCAGAGCCACGCAATATTGACATTTTATTATCTCGTTTGCTGTTAATTATTTACATATTAAAAGCTAGAAATGGCAAAAGCCGGAGGACTTGAGTGCGTAGTAGCATCATTTCCATACGACTTTATCCTCAATATGTTGATCTGCCAAATACAGGTAGAGACGTACAGAGAAACAAATTATAAACACGAACTCAACTAGATGTGGCTCTCATTTCAATATGCTTTTGGTTCGTAATTAATTAGAGACAAATAACACGAGGTAAACCAACTGTGCTGTCTAAAACTTATAGCGGCTTGCACGCGAGACTGGGTAATACAGTTTTATATATCGGTGGGAAGCTGGGGTGAAACTAATCCCATCTATACTAACATAGTAAAGCGTAAAAACTACTTCGTGGCATAGGATGTCAGCAATCACGGCATATTTTTGAATAATTATTTCTTTAATAAAAAGGCATATACTTACGACATGCTTTAGGCTATATATTCTCACGCTATTAAACTTAGGGGCTAAATAAATCGAATAAAAACCATCATGTGGGAAAGGGACCATAAACTAAAAGCTGCCAACATCAAGGAAGCAACATTGCCATCGTTGTCATTTGTGCATATGAATTTTGACATTTAAACAATAAAATAAAAAAAAAGTTCAAGCCGCATGGAAACAGTTTAGTACTAAATTCAAACAAGTGCTAACAAAACCACGAGCCACTGTAAATTTAGAATCTTATGATAACGAAAGACAGTTTCAAATTTCAACGTATAAAGTGTACGAAGCAATTTCACATGTACAGCATCATTAAGATAATTGGCATCAATATAGTATGCTTGATAAAATGGTAATAAATGAACCGTGTAATATTTTACAAGGCGTAATCAGTAACACATGTATTTAACGATGTTAACGTATCAGTTACGTGCAACAAGGGTCAATTATTATAGTAATGCATTACTTATAATGAAGTACGTAAAGTACACGCTTACTATATATCTAATTAATTGTAATTATAACTAGCTTTCGCCCGCGACTTCGTCTGCTGGAAATTGAAAAAAAAACAAAAGAGTTCCTATGTGCCAAATTTCATCGAAATTCGTTCAGTCCTTTAGGCTACCATCCATCAATCTAAACTTTCGCATTTATAATATTAGTATGAAGTATGATAGAATAGAATAAATAAAAAAAATAATGATTTTTAGATGCAATTCTGTACTAAAATTATAAAGACTTTTGTATGTTTTGAAATAACTCAAAAACTACTGGGTCGATTATTAAAATTCTTTCACCATTAAAAAGCTACGTTATCACTGGGTAACATCTATTTTATTACAATTACTGATTACACGTGACGGAAGTCGCGAGCAACAGCCAGTAAATAACAATTACAAACTAATTCCGAGTATAAAGTCTAGCTCTCTCGAGAGATCATTCGCAAGAATTACAAAATTTCATACCTTTTAACTATGCTCAGACTTGTCTTGTTAGGAAAACACGTCTCTACAAGCGCATAATCCTCCAGAACATCGTTCCTACATAGAGTTACTAAATTAGAATGCATTTCAGATGCGGTAATAAACATTTTCGAATTTAATTTCGTTTGTAGTGTTACGTGTAAATATACTGTAAATATTCTTTGATAATATCTTTTTAATATGTGACATGTTTTATAATTTTGATACTCTTTGGATATAAAACTGTAAGCGGTTACCATGGAAACGTGTTGTTGTTAAGTCAGAGAGATGAATAAAAAGATAACTAACATGGAATAAATCGTTTAATTCTCAACAAACTTCATTACTATTTATATTTTTAAAACAAAATTTGGAGACAACATTCTTATAATTTTAAGCGATCCTTGTTATGTTTAGTATAAATATTAATATATAGAGTTATAAATAATCAATACATACCACATAATCGGTGACGTGTAAAAGCGTCCATAGATATCTTCTACTAATCTGTTGACAAAAGAAACTTTTATTAAATAATGCACATCACATAAACTCAGAAGTTTTTAAGTAATTCCAATACATACAAAAATATAGATCTTTCCGCTTTACAACATTAGTATAAGTATACATAGAAATATAGTTGCCGCATCCATGATTACCACTCCATGTTGTAAGTAACCGGTCCCGACCGGCAGTGACTCACGCGCACATGGACTCGACGAGGTAACGAAATTTTGGACAAATATATGCTCGAGTAGATGTCATTTAACATATACAAAAGTATAAGTAACTAATCCAGTTGTCAATCTTTATGCTTGTTTGTGAGATTGATCTAAGTTGACAGTTTCTTTCGATTATTTTTTTTTCGTTATGTCCGAAAAGTTATCATTCGGATATAATTATTTGGACGGAATTTAAAAAGATTTACATGTAATAAAATCGAAACATTATGCAAATTGTGTAGTTGTCCGGCGTATAAAAGTGTTATCGAACACTGTAAAAATCGGGACAACTCTTGTGGTTCATTGCCACGAATTAACCCATGACCTTTGAAGGAATATTTAAAAACATATAAATTGTTAATAAACGCTGCTCGATATTTCTATATTGCTTTCTAGTTGGAATTTGATTTAATTATCTATATTTTTAGATCATAAACTAGCTGTTCCTGTGCGGCTTCATCCCGCATGAATTATGATAATTTTATTTTATTGTTTACATTTGTCAAATTATCAATTACAAATGTCAAAATAACATGATATGACAAACCTTAGCAATCTTGCTTTCTTGATGTTGGCAGCAGACTTATGGTCTCTCTCCCACATTAGGGTTTTTTCCAAAATATTTACCCCTAAGTTTAATGTTGTGAATATATATAGCCTAAAGCGTAACGTAAGTGTAGGGCTTTTTATTTAAAAAAGAATTATTCAAAAATATGCTGTAATGACATCTTAGGCAACAAAGAAGTGTGTGTTTACGCTTTATTATAATAGTATAGATTATTTATTGTATGCGCTTAGTCGAGATCACTCCCAGAGACTACCGACATCAAAAGTATGAGATTATTAGAGCTGGATTAGAGTAAATCTACCATATATCCCACTCACACTTAATACACAATAAACGAGAAGTTATAGATAATCAAGCCCATACTACAGCCCAAAATAAGAAGATATCACTGTAATCCTGGGTCCCGTATGCATTTATTTCTGGCGTTCTTAGCTAGGTACGGACAAGGTACAACCAACTCATATCAACCATACCACACAATATTAGCAATTCATACTTTATGTGGCAAAAGATCAATGGAAGCCGCAGTCTTAAGCAATTGCACTTGAATTCGTCATGATTAGGTGCCATTTATCATTTTACGTAAATTCCAATGGAAAAAGGAAAAAGACGGAGTTTAAATATATCAGAAATAATCAAGATATTGTTTATAGAGTTCATATAATCACAAACTAGTTTCGTTTTCAGAATTCAATATTTACCAAGAAAAAGTACTTTTAAAACGTATAACAGTTAACAGTACAAACATTTTACATTTATAGGTTAGGATTTGAAAAGAAATCAATTATATTCGTTTAACCGTAAACGAGTTAACGGTTGTAACTTTAAAAGGGTATTCAGAGTTTAAAGTAACAATAAATTTCACATTAACAGGTGCTTAACTTGGCCCACCGTGCTTAATGTGAGATCTAATGAAGTGTAACATTAAAGTTTTGGAAAACATTCCCCGGATGGAGCAAGGCGTGAGAATGGCCGCCAAATAACTCGTTACTAATTCATTTACGGCGCATCAAAATGAACTATAGTCAAATGTGGCTGCAATACAAGTAAAATATTATTTCTTTTTATTATTTTTTACGGTACATTTAGGTGTAGTCATCTAACATTTCAACTACATGAATTATCGATTTTGGGGTCTTAAATAAATCTCTATTCGTAACAAAAACAAATTTAAATAAAATGCTTGTCACTTTTAGAATCTTGATCTAGGTCAAAAGACTTTGATTTTTTAATCCGGTTTGTGACCGTATGAGCAAAGATCATTGACCTGCACCTTCGTAAATTTCTGCAAAATTTTATATGCATTGAGGCTTTAATCGGTTTTTGTGCCAAATTTTATCATATTATGCAACACATGCGTATTGATATCACAAATATCAATTTGTGTCTATACACGGCCACTAAAACACTAGCCACTTTAAACCGCATAGCTTCTCCGTTAGTGACCAATTGCCGTCTTTGAGTGCAGTTAACCTCAAACCTACAACTCGAATAAGCACCATGCAAACTACATTTTTTGGCAATTCATGACTATTCATCTTCAATTGTAGACATCTATGGGCAGCGTTCGCTTCTATATTTAGACGTATTCAGTTGTCAAAAAAAACAAAGAAGTGTCAACCCTGCTCGTTACTGATAAGAGAAGTAAGTAATGCGGTAAGTGAGGCGTCAACAAACCGGCACAAAGGCAAAGGAAAGCCCGCATCCGTTCGGAAATTGTAAACCCGAGTTTCGTTGTGAAACTAGCAACACCGGTGTTAGCGCCGGCATTACTTCCGAACGGAAAATATCCAAGTCGTTCTGAAATCTACACCAATCAACCAATGACTCATGAATACGACCCACCAACAGCGTAACTTTAAAAGTATGGTTTGCAAAACAATGTGTTAGCAAAATGTTATTTTACCAACGAGTCGGCAAAACATAATCAACGTTTGAAGACATGTATATTATTTTATTAATAGTTGTATTTTAATAATAGACTTGATTATTACATTGATTTCCTAGTTACATCACTAGAGGTCAGGTCAATCAAAAAGAAGTGGGCTTAATAATTACTGCCCACGCGTGGCCAAAAACGGGCACACGTGAGCAAACAATCATCACATTATGTTATGTTTACCATATTTAAAACATAATTACATGTAAGCAAAACATAATGCTTTGTAAAACACACACACAAGAAACTTAGTCAAAAATGTAAAATCATTTTCGAAGACAATCTTGTATACTGAATTGCACATAAAATGGGTAAGAATAAAATTTAAAGTTTTATAAAATGCGAAACAAAAAAAGTGTCTTTCTAATGTGATTGTGTGCGTCGTATTAAACGCTGTCGCACGTTGGGGTCACGACCCGCATAATGCAACCAACCTGTGGGAATGACGGCCACGGGAACCGAGAGCTACACTCGTCTCTGGTTCCGGGAAGCGTACACGCATTGTCAACTTGTTTCATATCAAAGTCTCGTCAACTTTAATGCTTGAGTTACGACATTAAAAAACAACTGCCTCTAATAGCTGGGGTCGGGAGACTCTGGGTACTTCTAAAGTATAGAGCATGTAATAAAAGGACAAATTATAAGCTTGATAAAAGATTAATAGACTTTTTATAGATGACTAGTTTTTGCCCGCGACTCCGTACGCATGAAATAAAGAAAAAAACAAAAGTGAGTAGCCTTTGTGTTCTTCCAGACTGCTCTACATCTTTGCCAAATTTCATCGAGATTCGTTCAGCCGTTCAGGCTGCAAACTCTAACATCCCATCTTAACTTTTGAATTTATAATATTAGTAAGATATTTACACTGATGTAGACTACTTTTCGTCCTCAGCAATGAAATATTAAAAGGTTTATAGAAATGTTTGTTCAAATACTTGGATCTTTAATGCGCCTTTCACTAATGGTATATCATTTGTAGATAAGCACTCGTAAAATATTCAATCAAATCATTGAGTGCTCTCTTATCTATTCTTATCTTTTATCTTCATCTTAATGCAGTCTTCATTATTATAAACTCAGTCTGCAATTAATGTTTACGCTAAAGATTAACTACAACAGTAAAATATACATCTTTTTACTCAATTGCGTTAAGACGGATATAGTAAGAACCTTTAATTAACTACCTTATTTAAATGTTGCAATAGCTACAGAAAGGAGGTTAGAATACACATTTTTAAGCTGCCGTCTGTATTTCATAGAATAAAATAAGAAACATACAAAAGGAAAGACACAATATTGTTTAAAATCATTCCCATGAAACATTGTGAATCGAACATTCTGTTAAATAACAAACGTTCTAGAATGTTCCTTAAAATATTTACTGCCTCACGACGTATTTTAGGTTATTTAGGATAACTTAGAAAAAGCGTGTTGTATACAAATTTCACGCACTATTGTATTGTAGGTATTAATTAGTTATAAATCTACATAACAGAAAACAATGCTGTTCCCCTTCCCACCCTTTCTTGTAAGGAAGGGATGAGAAGCGGAGTTAGATTAGGCAAAGGAGATCATTGCAATTGCAGATATTTCCGGGCAACGGTTACTTCTTTCTTTGGCGAATTAATATACCTACACGCTTATTTGCCACCTTTTAATATAAAATCAAACTTATAAGTTTGATAACCACAAACAAAGTCTGTAACAATTACAAACCTATGATTTAATATAAAACGTACAGATTAAACTAGGAGCTATAAAATGCATAATAAGATCATCAGATAATAAAACTTTCATGTACTTCATAAAGCATTTCTTGTCCATAATGACTTCGGTCGTGTGAGTAAAGAGCGACTTGTAAATAGGCCGAGTTCACATTAAAACGACAGCAGTTTAACGACTCTGCCACTGAATGCTACCAGGTGTTCATTATGTACACGCCGCTTTAGGATTTTATGCTAAAACCTGTCACATTTACAGACCATCCGGGTGTTATAATTTCTACATTACTTATTTTGGTATTCCACTCTGTAAGACTGTAACGTTCCTATCCTCGAAGAATTTTACGACTCAGCAACACCACACCGTGTATACAATTGCATTGGTACTCTGACGGATTAAAAGCTGTCATCGACTGACATAACATTGACGCTTGAGATAGCCAAGACCATAGACAATACATTACATGGAATTGAAGAATTTTAATTTGACATTGATAAAATAATCAAATCCTGTGAGAGGTATTGTTTACAGATCAACTTTTTACTAAAAACAAGCTTAAAACTCCTCTTTTCACTCTTATTGCATCTCTAAAAGTTACATATTTGAGGCACGCTTACTTACTTACTACTTACTACATTCTGCTGCCCATGCGAAACCTTACAAAGTAACTCATTTATACTATTATTATAAAGAGGAAAGATTTGTATTTTTGTACGTATTGAAATAACTCTAAAACTACTGGGCTCGATTTAAAAATTCTTTCGCCGTTTAAAAAGCGTTATCAGGGAGTAACATGGGCCATATTTTTTATTAATTTCACAAGGACGAAGTCGCGAGCAACAGCTAGTAGAAAAATAAAAGAAATTCAACATATACAAACATAGTAGTAATTAAAATACAACGATTTTCTTTACTTTGCATGGATCCTGTATGGCAAATATTCGACGCGAACGACCGTGGGAAACTTCCTAGCTGTTGCAACATTAATGGTAGCGTCCCACAAAACATCGACGAGTGTTGAAATCACACGTCATAATACTCAACGTGTATGCAAATGAAGGTTACGAACTGTACGTTTTTATTGGCCAACAGTGTACCCGCACCTCGAGTATAAAACGGCAAATGAGTGAGCTATTTTTAGTTTACGATATTAATGTATTTGCTGTTTTACTTTTTATTTTTAGAGTTGATTAAGTAAGCTTTTCAATATGAAAACATTAAACCTGGTTACATCTATATCTATACTATTATAATAAAGCGTAAACACACACTTCTTTGTTGCCTAAGATGTCAGCAATTACAGCATATTTTTCAATAATTCTTTTTTTAATAAAAAGCCCTACACTCACGTCACGTTTTAGACTACATATTTCTACGCCATTAAACTTAGGGGGTAAATATTTTTGATAAAAACCCTAATGTGAAATGTGATGGAAAGAAAATAAAAAAAATGTTCATATCATGCGGATGAAACCGCACGGGAACAGCTATTTCTATAATAATTCTTCAAAATCTGTTCAATTCTTACAGAGTTTAATAAAGTATGAACAAATAAAACTCTCCTATTTTCCCCACTTTGCTTCGGTATCGTAAAATGTTAATGAATAGGAGACTACAGCGACCTCTTGCATATTTATAAGGGTCACTGCGACCATCGCTTCTTAATTATAGTCAAGTAGTGACACTTGTATCACTTCCTTCAAAGAAAAATATGCTCATTTACTTTTATTTTTAATTAAAATTTATTCTCTGGTTTTAACCTCCGTTAAACAGCTCATATGCTTATAAGAAACAGTTACGGCTTTTAATCGGCCTCATTTCGACAATTAATCACTACATTATAAATTCATTCAAAAATTCATTAGATCATTTGGATGATTGACCATTTGAGTGGCACTTATCTTAAGCATCTTGTCGTGTTGTTGAAGTTTTAATATCTATTTGTAGAGACGGATAAATTAAATATCTTGTTAACATGTGTGTGGTGACAGTTATGTGAAAGTTAACGTAGCTACCGCTTAATGATTGGATGAAGACGTTTTATACAATGTGGCGAATGATCAAGCCTGATGTTGCTAAAATTACCTCTATCCCTGTTAATAAAACCTAAGTATCACCCTCTTATTTACATTGAATAAACCAAGATCACTTCTGTATTCCTGTATCACGAAAAGCCACAGTAACTGTACAAACCGCGGCAATAGGTATAGAAACCGCGTAAATTGTGCAAGCTTTAAATTTTCCCGCCATTAATGTCATTGACCCGGGGTAACAGATAAACAAAAGATTCCACCGCAAAGGTTTCGTTCATTCCGAGTTCCGCGCGCATTCGGACGATCAATCACTCAGTTTGAAACCACTTGGCGGTAATCTTCGACGGTACCGTGAGAATGCGGTCAAACACGGCTCACGGAGATCGGTCTATATTTTAAACAAATCCAGTATATTATCCTTTGATGCATTACTAAATCTAAAACGATAACAGGCCTATTATTCCTATTACTATTACTAACGGGTTATATGGAGAATTTGCTTTAAATATACAGCATAATATTTGACTCTACTCATACTTTTGTTTTATGTTAACACTGTCGAGTAAGCCGCGTTATAACTACACAATCCCATAGCAACGATCAAAGTGAAAAACGATAATCGACTATGCAAAATAGGTAAATCGTTATCGAGAAATAACATACCTCCCGTAAAGAGGCAATGATCCATCAATATGCAATTTGCGAATGTGAGACGCTTTCGAGTGTAGTTTGTTTTACGAACGCCATTTACCACGGAGAGTCGAACCGTGCGGCCAGGTGTAGCCCCTACCATCGATGTACGATTGGAGAAGCGAATAGCGAATTGTATCCAATGAGGAACTTAGTCACGTCCTTAGACGAACGACCGCGCAAACGCTATAATATATCGAGAGACCATTTTGACTCCTAAATGAGTTTGTTGACACCAGCGTGGAGTTCACGGCCGGCAACACGACTGCTTGCCATGCTAATATATGGATGTAGGATGTGGGCAGGTAGCTACGAATAAACAATAGTAGCTTGTGATAATTGTTTTTACACTGAAACGAAAATTGAATGTGTATCGAATACATCTAGTATTCAAATGATTCATTTGGAAAGCAACACCGTGACCTTGGATTTGACCTTCTAATTATGACTTGGCAAACCAAAGGAATACCATTTCTATTACGCATTTTACAACAAATAGGTTTGAACTATCATTATTGTGTTCGGAAATAATAACAATTTGTTACACAGCAAATTGTCAAAAACATTGTAATCACGCACTCTGTTCGGATACATTTTAACTAGGAGCATTTACGTAGGAGCATTTAAACAGTATATCCGAACATCTCATTCGCACGGTCTCACGATTTCTTGACTGCGGTACCGGTGCGCCAGCGAACCCAAAACTATTTTTCCCACTCTCCCCATTGTCTTAAATTCCCACGCTGTATACTCTATGAGAAAACTGCCACCGATATAAAGTTATTACTTATTTTTTTGCTGCCGACTGTAAATTGAAGCCGTCAATTAAGAGATGAATATTATTCCAATATATTTTTGATAGATACTTGAAGCGTCATAGATATTTTTAAATACAAATGGCAGGTGTCTCTTGGATTACGAAATAAGTTTTTTTTCCTTTTTATTACAGAGACGAGACATGTATGTCATTGAACTTATTGTAAGCGATATATTAGTACATAACTAAACACATCCTACTTATTTTTAAACTATATCCTTCAGCACTATTAACTATTTCCCAATATTCACATAACTATCAAAACTTTAGCAAGTACAATTAGTCCAATTATTTTGTAATGAATCTCATTTAAAACACATAACACAAACAAAATAATATAAACAAAACCATAAACCAATAATTGTTCTAACAACAATTTACGTACATCCTTGAAATTAAAGAAAAACAAACAATCGGCTTGTACAAAAGATTCGAAAGATGAAAGTGCTAACTGTTGGCCAAAGTTTGGAAAAATTTGATCAAATATTAGTACTAATTTACTAAGCATTCTGAACTTTAAAACTATAATCATAAGGTATACTTCAATTTGTCTGGGTTCATAATACAAGTTGGTTGTAAATTACAAATCGGGCGTGGACGGTCAACAACGCGGTAAGTCGAAGTAAACAGGCTATTGTAGTCGATTCGTACTGTTCAAACATTTACTGAAGCGATCTTACATGCGCAGGCTCTACGGCCCGATTGGGAATGCCACGCATATCTCAGATTCTATATAATGTACATAAACGGGCCTTAATGGCTCAGTGGTTAGTGGCATATATTCGATTCCTAATATTCATCATCTACTTGCCCTTGTCCCTACTCAGGGTCGGCACAGTATGTGCTTCTCATTCATCTCTATCAGCCGTCATATCTGAATTCACTCCCTTCTTAAGCATATCCTCTACCACACAATGCATCCACACTGTCTTCCTCGAAATTTGATTCCTGATTTTGGGGTCATCTAATTTTTGAAGCTAATTTACTTTTCCGTATGTTCTTAATACCTATTTCCGTCCGTAATAAGCGTCTGAACATTATTATAGAGTCACGTTTCCACTAGTGAAGTCGCAACTTCTATACAAAATATGTCCTCTAAGGAAGAAACTATATAAATTGAATACAATGTGTTTCCGAGTCCTGCGAGTTTTCATAATGTAAAGTGCTTACATTTAAAGTTATTGCCTATTATTACATAGAGATGTTTTATTCATTAGTTTAAAACAATGGCCCCATGTCTAACCATAGTCCAAAACTGGTTTTATATAATTCAAATATCTTTGGAATACCGTAATCAAGTTACTTTAGAAGATTTAATATTTTTTTCGTTAAGGTTTAATTTTTTGAAATGATAACGTGCCGAATCATTTATCTCAAGTTACATTTACACTGAAAAACAAGAGACAGCAACATCTTTAAAGGTGTTTCTGCAAACCCTAAAAACCTACTATAGGGACAACATAAGCATACACCGCATTCTTTTACATAAGACGTAGTAACTAACCGCTTATCAACAACTCGCATACGCGTCCACACCATTGTTATCGGGGCAATGCAACGGTGTTGAATCAAGGCCGCGGTACAACGTGACAACGTGCTAAATTAACCACGTCACGAACCAACAACGTGTTCTAGACGGGACAAATGCCACAGCGAGTTTGACAAACAATGTATCACGGTGTCTCGTCACAACAATATTAACAAATCAGGGCTTGAGTCAGGTGACGTAAATTTTTCTACATACCTCAGTTACTTGGAGATATTTGTAAGGCTTTCCACATCTGAAACAAATACCAAAATTAATATTTAGTCTTTGGTAAAATTTGTGACAAGGACACAACGCAACGAACGATGCAAACTTATTCCTAACTATCTCTATTCTATGATGGAGAAAAATAGGTAGAACGAAAAGAGGATAGTTATGAAGAAAGCGATATAAGCACTCGCCCTGATGATGGACCCTAATGGGTCCGAAACTGGGTGCCGTCATCGGATCATACGCGAGTTACAGCGTCTGTAATTCTCACAAAGTTTATACAATTTAATGTTTGTTCACAATATTTTTACATAATGACGTAGTTGAATTACGTACACATGTTACGTGAAGTGTGTAAATATTAATTCACTTTATAAGATCGTCAAACGTGTAAAAGTGTAATCGTGAAGAGGGGAATACCTTACACACGTAATTTGGTATTTCCGTGACGTATTTGCCGATTATCATTACTCTAATGAATATCTGAATTATTATATAACGTCATAAACAAGTAAACACAAAATCCAAAAATTGTATGTTCCCGTTGGGCGTAAGGAAATTTTTTCTCCATTAGATCGATTGGTTGTATGGATTCAAAGTAACCAAACACAAATTTCATTCATCCATGATTCGTAACTTACTTATATAAATGCGAAAGTTTAGATGGATGGATGGATGTTTGTTAGAGTTTGTAGCTTAAACGATTGAATAGATTTTGATTAAATTTGGTACAGATATAGATGGTAGTCTGGAAGAACACATAGTCTACTCACTTTTTTAATTCCAGGGGGACGAAGTCGCGGGCCAAAGCTAGTGACATATAAATTCAGTAAAACAACATACGTAAAATCCACTCTATTAAAAGTACACAATTTATAAAATTCCAGAAAATATTACCAACAATGCAATACACAAATATTGGCACATCACATTTGGACCAAGACAGATGCCTTAATCGGTTGAATTAAAAAAAAAAGTACAGGGCTGAACTGAGCAGTTGTCTACAACACCTGCGGTCGCACATGTCAGGGGTGGCCGGTGCACGTGCCTCTTGCACAATATTATAAAGCGGAACTTGCACATCCTGCCACACCTTTGACGATCAATAATTTCTCTGCGAATAATGTCATTGGCCTTGTTAAGACCTAATGGGTTAACATAAAGTTTACATTTATTGAAAATAACTTTTACTTTTTAAAAAATCCAACATGTAAAATATGTAATGGAAATATCGGATTTTGTGCCCTTATTCATATAAGGTCTGGCACTGTCATCAGTGATGTCATTTTTAAGCTATCTGAGCCTCTATCAGCTAGTGGTGGGGCAGGCGTTAATTGCTAACACATACAATTTGATTATTACGTAATTATTAGTGTCTCGGTGAATTAACTCAGCATTTAATATTAATACAATGTTTATTAAATTATGTGTTAAAAACGATGCATAATACTCAGATATCTTGAGGTGCACTTAAATATTACTTAAATAACACCGGAAACAGCACGACAGATAAGATAGTGGCATCATTAAATTTTAACATGTCTTCAGTGGCCCTGTTTTATTGTGTAAAGTTTAACTCTAAATGTATATTCCAAGTATTATCTTTAAAAAATGTTTTTTTTTTTTAGCTATATAACCTTATTTTAATGCGCTAAAACCACTACAATGTACAACACAGTACAGTTCCAAAGAAATAAAACCAACAAGTCCTAAGTACTGTATAATACAGTATTATCGCTAAAAATATAGAAATATAGGAAAGGTTGCAAAAAGAGCCGTCAGACAGGCCACCACCGCACCTGTCATGCTTGCCTGGTACCTATCTAGGACATTTCACTATCATCTATAAGTTTTATTTGATTATCGTCTATTAAATTTATTGTAAAACTTCATACTTATCTATTTTAGATTTTGTATTCATTAAAACTATATTATTAAAAAACACATTTTTAGAAAAACAGTTTAAAATTATCTTTATAGATAGTCGTAACAAAAATCAACACAAATGCAAAAATACAAATTTTTACCCTTAACAACTTTATATTGAAGATTCACTTAGCTAAGTTCAATAACCTTACATGAATAAAACGAAAATAACTTATCAATGCATTAAGTCTGTGTTTAATATGGAGAACGGGACCACAAAAGAAAACACTCACTTGTACTTTGCACTACATATTTCAATACTTACATAGCGATCAATTCTGTGATATTTAGAAACAAAATGCCACTGACATATAGAAAACGAACAACGCCATCTATTTACTAGCAGCTTAAACAGTCTGCTTTTTGATACTTAAAATATACTTGGAATATAAAAAATCAGGTGTAATATTAATTCGACACCTTGTCGCCTCATTTTACACTTTAATTGCATATCGGGAACGACAATTATGTAATTTGAAAGACTTTTAAACCGTAAAGAGTACAATAATAATTATGATAGTTTATATTTTTCAAACAAACTTTTCAGTCGCGTTTTGGAACTGTCTGTCCTCGGCGGTATTTCCAAACCAATACGACTTAGGGTCCTTCAAGAAGCGAGCCTATTATTTCCTCAAAGGCCGGCAAAAACATACACTTCTTTGTTGCCTAAGAATTCAGCAATTATAGCATATTTTTGAATAACTCTTTTTTTAATAAAAAGCGCTAAACTTACGTCACGCTTTAGGCTATATATTTTCAAGTCGTTAAACTTAGGGGTAAATATTTTGGATAAAAACCCTAATGTGGGAATGAGACCATAAGTTGCTGCCAACATCAAGGAAGCGAGGTTGCCATGGTTTGACATCATGTTATGAATGAAGTCGCATGGGAACAGCTAGTTTCTTATAAACTGCGTATTATTTGAATACAACAAACAACACAATATCATATTTAAAAACAAACGTTTGACGGAAAAGGTAGGTAAGGTAACATTAACTTTGAGAAAATTTATTAACACAAAAACTTACTAATGTATTTTTTTCTACAAAACGCTGACGCAAATACGAGAAACTGATCGCACGTAGCAACCGCGTTTATTTCAGGTTTTTTTTATTCAGGTTTCATGCCAATGTGTACTTAATTTTAAAGTATTAAAGTTTAAATTCATATAAAGCAGCTGTGAAGTGTTACATTGTTATTTATTTTAACTGTGTATTTTATTAATTGTTTAAAACAGTCAATTAATAAATGTTACGAAGGATGGACAAAAGGATGTGATTTTGAATTAAAGTCAGTCAAATATGTAGAAGGGGAGTAAAATTAAACAGGTAGAACTGTCAAAATACTAAATAATTTATTAAAAACTAGCTGTTCCCATGCGACTTCATCCGCATTAAATTATAAAAATTTCATTTTATTGTTCACATTTGTCAAATGTTAAAATGTCATGACATGTCAAACCATGGCAACCTTGCTTCTTTGATTTGGCAACAACTTATGGTCTCTTTCCCACATTAAGAGTTTTTATTCAAAATATTTACCCCTAAATTTAACGATGTGAAAATATATAGCCTAAAGCGTGATGTTAGTGTAGGGATTTTCATTAAAAAAAGAGTTATTCGAAAACATGCTGTGATTGCTGACATCTTAGGCAATAGAAAGTGTGTGTTTACGCTTTATTATATTACCCAATAACTAAAAATAAATAAATGTCTATAAATTTTAAATCTAATTTACCTAAATAACTTGGGCAAACTAAATGACACAGCGTAGACCTTGGACTTTGTCTAATGCACTACATTTAACTAAACATTCGTGGAAATTCACCACTTCATAATACATTGCTGCATTAGTACGCATTCCGAAACATCTCGTGCGTTCGATCGCGTCAATGTATAGTACATGAAATGTAGATGTAAAATTTGAGTTATACTGAAACATGTATTGGTAGAGGGTGGGCGGCGTAGCGTGACGGAAAAGCAGGTTCATACAACGTGACAATTTTTTTTTTATAATATAAAGTGGCAAACGAGCAAGCGACTACCTGAATCCACCGAAATGGAAAGCGACCGCTGCCCATAAATATCCGCAACTGCAGATGCGTTGCCTACCCTTAATTGACGGAGGAGGAGACGCACAAAAAGAGGACATTTCCCCTTCCTATGCGTCTCCTCCACCGTCAAATCTATTTTTCCTACCCATCCTTTCCTCTTAAGAAAAGGGTGGAAAGGGAAAGAGAAAAGGGTGAAAAGGGAAAGGAAAATTAATACAGAGTTCATGAAAGTATTAGCAGGTTTTTTATTTCATGAAACATTTCAGCTACACTTCGAAAATCTTGACCTTAATTACACTATATCCGATACTAATTTAAACTTTTTAGTTAAACATTCGTTTTCCTTTGACCAGTTAGACATCGATGTGAAAATTTATTAATCTTAAAACCCACAGGAATAAATGAAAAACGCGCATTTATCTGACTTTTACTTAACATACTAATTTTTTAAATTGTTTGTTGCCAAGGATAAGTGAAAAAGTAAAACAAATGGTCTCCAAGCCCGCATTACTCACAACGTAATGAATTGGTATTTCCAGGGTTGTCAACATTTTGTAGTCATTTCAGTACTATTCAATACACATTTATTCTGAGGTAGCTATGATAAAAAATATCGTTTAAGATTCGTAATTTTAATCGTAACATATTTGTAAAAAAAAACTTTAGTAAGTAAAAATCTAAAATTGGCTAAGTACAGTTCACAACCCGCGTTTCAACAAATAATCTTATTGACAGCCCTGGATGTTAGCCGTCTTATTTAATGACAACAATTGTTCAAAGCGCCGATAAGTACTGCTTACCTTAAGTTACACGTGCTGCTTAGAACATGCATTCACATGACAAACTGCAACAAAGAAAACTATATATAATTAACTTACAAGAAAATAAAAACGATTCAAAATGATCTATTACTTAAAGGGAAAATTTCTGGTAATTCGATCACAGAATAAACCAATCTTCTAATAACAATGAAAGTTTTTAAAACTATTAAAAGCAGAAATGTATAAATGTAGACGAATCAATAGATATAAACTTTCAAATTGCAATTCAAACGACAAATAACCTTTCGTAAATTACAACTAACGGAGTTATTAATAGTGCAGTTGTTGCTAAGAACATATCTCACGGCTTCCATTGTTGGTGCATTTGCCACCTCGTTTTGATCCATTGTTGTGCTGGAGATCGAGCGATACTACGACATGGTCTCTATTATCGATGTTTATGCGTCGAGACGCCATTGTCTCTTAGAAAAGTCGACTTTTAATCGTTCCAAGTGATTTATGTACCAATTTAGCACAACATCGATATGTTTACGACTGCAATGATACCTACTCTATGTCTCGTAACTGTTTAAATTGAGCTCACTTCTTATCGGATCTTTTCTAATTATTACGATGAAAGACATTTATGATATTTTTGAAATAATCAAAACAACCGCTTTATTGACAAGAAGAGATATAAGAGTATATTTTATCGAGTTACATTTTATAGCTCGAACCATCCGATATTCGATACCGTCTAGTTTTACTAATTTTCAATTAAGTATGTCGATATTAAAATCTAACAATTTACTGCAAATCGAACAGTCGCCCCGTTACATATCAGCTACTCCAACTAGGTTACCCACCAGAAAATCTACATATTTATATTTATTATAATAAAGCGTAAACGCACACTTCTTTGTTGCCTAAGATGTCAGTAATTACAGCATGTTTTTGAATAATTCTTTTTCAATAAAGAACCCTACACTTACGTCACGCTTTAGGTTATATATATAACGCCATTAAACTTAGGGGGTAAATATTTTGAATAAAAACGCTACTGTGGGAAAGAGATCATAAGTTGCTGTCAACATCAAGGAAGCAAAATTGCCATACTTTGTCATCATGTCATGTCATTTTGACATTTGCAATTGAATTTGACAAATGTAATCAATAAAACAATTTTCATAATTTCATGCGAACGAAGTCGCACGGAAACAGCTAGTCGTTTATAAATTTTATTGTCGTCAAGATATAAGCGATTTTCATAAACATAAGTCTCGTTAGAGTGAACCGCGGCGGGGGCCGATCTATCGCACGCAGTAAATCCTTCGCTAGACCTAGACCAGTCTAGAGTTAGACCCAAGCATTGTCTCGAGGCGTAATGAGAATAGAGATGCCTCCCACTGATATAAACATTGTAATGCCTTTGGAAATATCACTACTCAGCTAACTCATTGTAAATATGAATTACCTACATTTTACCATTAAAATATTTTATTAACTTTATTGGTAGGCAATGGATATTGCATACCCTCTTCGACGAAGGAAGGGACGCATATTAAAAGGATATTTTCCTTACTATGCGTCCACTTTGCCGTCAAATCTACTAACCTTTCCTAAACGTAAAAAAAATGAGGGAAAACTACACTAAAATCAAACCTCCCGTACCGCACACTCATCAGGCGAAACACTGAATTGCTTCTACTTGACCCGTCATCTGTGTGATTGTGATTTGCACGATAAACAAGCCAGTCCTTTCATACAACAGATGTTACTGGCATCTGTAATAGATGCCAGTAAGTGTTATGCATTCTTTGCGATTGAATTTATCAACATAGAAAAAAGTTGCAGTGTTTCTTTCTTAAGTACAAATAAAACATAAATGAGCCTTGTTAAAATCTTTGCGTGCGTTAATCCTATCGTAGCTTCCGAGCGTGTCGGGAATTCTTTCACAAAAATGAATGGGGCCCGGGATAGAAATCTTTCTCACGGTCAAAGCCATGGGAAGATAGCACATATCCTTATTATTGTATAAGCGGATACGAAAAGGTCAGCCACATTTTAGCAATAGTATGCATTCCTTTCGCATTAAGTTTTGTGTTGCATTTCTTTATTCATTAGATTGATACGTCGAATGTTATTTGTGCTATCAATTCTAGCAACAATAACTCATCTAACACAACCAACATTTGGTCCAATACAATGATTGGCAATCACCATCCAACGCTCACAATGGTATAAAAAAGACCAATTTCAATCCTCATGTAATTCTGTTTGATTATGATTATACAGCGATTATTAAGGTAATTATTACGCGGTCGGAGTCTCCATTGTGGCTTCATCAGAAGCATTTGCGTCACAAGCCGTATCAAGACGTGGGAAGCGTACTATTGTTTCGTACAATTTCTCAATTTAAATTCTCTTGACGTGTACAAATGACGTATAAATTGAAAAAAAAATGCTTTGTAATTATTGAAAAGTAATGATAATTTTCTAATATGAATTAACATTTATTATAATTAACTTCTATTGCATTTCAATGAGGACATATCGTACGATGGATATTTGTTAGAGTTTGTAGCCTAAACTGCTGAACGGATCTCGATGAAATTTAACACAGATGTAAAGGGTAGTCTGGAAGAACACATATGCTACTTGTTTTCTTTAATTACATCCCGACAGAGTCGCGGGATAAAGCTAGTATGTAATTATGAAAACCCTAGAGCCTCTCTCTCAAGATCCACGAAACTTTCCTAACTAAAGTTTAAACCTTATGTACATATTTCAAGAGACACGCAAATCCGTGTGTAATAAATGGTATCACATGCCTCGAGGATGCAAGCAAAGACACGACTTTTCTTTGGAATCGTTCTTTAATGACTGAAAATGTCCCCACCCGAGGCATCGTCTAACGAATATTTAATTGCACCATAACATTCAAAGATCGACACAAACGTGCTCCATCTACGTTTATTAACCAATTATACTTCTTTGAATATAGCTACGGGACAATCGACTAACGACAAAATAGTTGCCAATAGAAATACCACATCAAATATTTGTATTACATCCTTATCAGAGAAAACTGTATATTGACCATAGACATTACAACCTTATAAGTTTCTTACTAGTCATGCTAACAAAAGTATTCTTCCTGGAAAGATTCAATACATTTGAAACACAAAATTCAACATAGTCTAGGACCGAAACTTCATTGCAGATTTCTACTAAACGTCAAATCAAAAAAACTCCTATTTTAGTTACTTTAAACCAGTCTCAGTAATCAGTAATAAGTAAAGTAGTAAAGCGTAAACACACACTATTTTGTGGCGTAGTATGTTAGCAATCACAGCGTATTTTTTAATAATTCTTTCTTTAATTAAAAGCCCTATACTTACGACACGATTTATGCGATATATTTTCACGCGTTCTAACTTTGGGGTAAATAAATTGGAAAAACCCTTCACGTGGGAAACGGACCATAAACTACAAACTGCCAATATTAAGGAATCAAGGTTATTATGGTAACCGTAATTTTGAAATTTGCTATTAAGAATTTGACAAATGCAAAAAACAATAAAATAAGGTTTTTATAATTTTATACGGATGAAGCCGCTCGGGAACAGCTAGTAGTTGATAAAGTAACAAATAGCATACCGTCAATGCATACGGTTACGTGGGAAGAGTCATGTTAATGCTACCGGTCCGCGAGCTCTGTCATTGCGTTAACGGTACATCAATGGATAGTATGACTATGCAATATCTATACTTTTATAATAAAGCGTAAACACACACTTCTTTGTTGCTTAAGATGTCAGCAATTACTGCATGTTTTTGAATAATTCCTTTTTTAATAAAAAGCCCTACACTTACGTCACGCTTTAGGCTATATATTTTCACGACATTAAACTTAGGAGGTAAATATTTTGGATAAAAACCCTAATGTGGGAAAGAGACCATAAGTTGCAGCCAACATCATGAAAGCAAGATAGCTAAGGTTTGTCATGTCATGTCATTTTGACATTTGCAATTGATAATTTTTGCAGTTGTGATATTTATACTTTTCTGTAGCAAATCGCACAGAAAACACACATATGATTTTTAATTACTATAATTAAAAACCTCAAGAATAAAAATACAATGGGTTCTTTGCCTTACACCGACATAAACGGTAGATTCGTTGCATTTTAATTAACATGCAAGCGTATAAAAACTCTTGCACTCAAAGAAATCAACACGATTGAAAAGTATTCCCACGTGTGTGTAATTTACATGTTTTCCTTCTCAACTCACATTTTAATTACCTACTGGGCTCATCAATTATAAGCTACCAGGGACGCATAAACTACCAAGCGTGCGCAACCATAGATAAACTAGAACCATATAAAACTAAGCAAGATAAAGCAAATTTAATAGCTGAAATAAAAAAAATATTTAAAAGCTAAGGAGTTTTTAATGTGTTTTGGGTAAAGTAAAACCTGTTTGGTGTGTACTGAAGTGTTGAATAACATCGTGAGAGCCGTCGCTTCCGTCCGCGGGCGGAGGTTGACCGCAGCCACGATAGTATCTCCCTCTAGCGGAGTCACCACGAATTAATAACTATACTTGAATAACACTAGAATACTTCTATACAGATTGCACGCAAAATGTGCAGATATTATGTAACGAAAGAACTACGCCGTCCTTTTCATGGACTATGTTTTTCCTTCCTTTTTCTTCAAGAAATAAGCACACTTGTTATTACCCAATACTGCCTCTGCAGTTCCTCTGATGCTGGCATTGGATCACTTAACACCAGACGACCTGATGCTTGCTTGACGCATTATCGTTGAAAAAACATCTCTTTCAACACACATGTATGTAACTCAGTCACGCGCAGTTTAATATTATTAACAAAAACTTGTTTGATATCGTATCCTTTAGGTACCTTATAATTTTTACATTCAATTGTTTCTTTTACAATCATTAAACTCACAGGAAATTAAAACGCATAAAAAGTTACAAGACAAATTCACACAAATAAATCGAAGACAATTTTTGTGCAGCGAGATGCAAATCTCAAACGGAAGTTGCAAGCGCC